AAGTGAATACTTTAAAAATAAATAAATTTTATCATAAAATTTTATTCCAATAAGTCATTGGTTATTTTGAGAGACCTAGAAATATTCGAGGATGCATCATATGACAGCAACAAAATATGTCAGTGGCCGAAAATAACTATTTATTAATACTATTTATTATCTATTATATTATTAGTATTCGTATTTAATATGTTTACTGCAAGAATAATATGGCAGTACTTACATATGTACTTTATAGATTTTGTATAAAGTCTTTCAAATCAAAATTTTATTATTATTAAGAAATATTATTTTCTTATGAAGAATCGTGAGCAGTTGAGCAGTTAATTTGAAAAGATAGAATTTATATCTGATTAACGTTTTCCCGCGGCTTTGCACGCGTAGTTGATTTACGAGTATGTATTACTCTATTTCTAAAAATTAAAGCCTATGTGTTACTTTGATTTTCGATACATATATGTCATCAAAATCTGTTCAGTACTTGTTTGTGTGACGGACTAACAAATATCCATCCATCAATTCTCACAAGCTTTCGCGTTAATTAATTATATTAGAAAGATGTATTTTCTATAAGCTTATTATCTATTTTTTTCATTTAGACCTAAAATTCCAGAAAGGCAAATTGGCAAGTAACAAACAGCTAATTCTTCATAAATACCTAATAAGGTACATGGATCCTTTTGCCTTATACAGTGTCGATGTATTTCGGTGGCATTCAGATAAAGTTGGTCAGACGTAGGATTTCAAGTGTGATTGGCTTTTAACTAATTGATACGGGATGTCATGTTCTTTTGAACTGTTAAGAAACTGTTATTGGATTGTTAGAATATAATCCTGTTAACTATGTAGGCAAGTCTTGTTACTGACGTTACTACCTTTGGTTTCGTAACATGTTAATTCGGTTAGAGTCGTCGGTTTGCACTAAAACTTAGCACAAATTTAAGCTGCCTGTGGTTGAATTCATACAATAATTATATGTCACTGCGTATTTTAATCACAGAAGTGTTTATAAATTATAAATATTGATGTAAGTATATTGTTTATTTATTTAATTATAATATAATAGAATTTAAGATTTATTACCGAAGTTAATATTTAGAATACATTTTACTACAGAAGAAGAAATATCGAGTAATATGTAGAGAAAATACAATTACATAATTACTTTTAACTAAAGCTAATAAAAGTAAAAGAGTCTCAATAGCCCAGTCGAATTAGGATTTGAACTTACAAAAAATTTTAACGGCAATTTTCCTTTGGAATTCTTTGGGGTGAGCGGGAGAGGGGTTGGGGGGGTTGGTAGGTTTGGTGGTCTCTGGAAGTCTAAATTTAGATTCTCGGGGTACCAGACCCGTTGCGTCATCCACCATCTTGAATTTAAGGGTTGTTTATTGAATAACTCATTTAATTTTCAATTTAACACGAAAAATAGTTATTACAAAAGTTGTTTGAAATTAAATTTCCTACAATTTTGCTTTTAATCATTTTTTTCCTAGGATCGATATTTTTCGATTTATATTCGAAAAGAGGTAGAGAATTATTGTTTATTGAACAACTCGTTTATTTTCAATTTTCCGCGAAAAATTGTAATAAACAAAGTTGTTTAAAAATCGGTACCTCGAGATTTATATTTAAGCTTCCAGTAAGACCCCTAAAGAATTCCGAAGGAAAATTACCATTAAAAATGTTTGCAACATTTGCCCCTTTTTTGAGCTAATTCGACTGGGCTATAACGTCAGTGCGAAGTCAAACACGTTTATCTATCTAGTGCATCAAGAGACAGAGATAGCATCTCATACCCGACTATTTTCCGTTTGACAAGGAGAGCATTTGAATCATTCATTTTTGATGTCATTCGGTACTGTTCCGGGTTTGAAAATTTAATATTTTACAGACATGACATGTCTTTGGGAGTTCGCCTAGAGCTATAACTTTCACAACTCCTAATATAATGTCAGAGGAATTTTCGACCTTGTATCGCGCTTAGATAACGTACTAGCTCTCTATAGGTATGGGAAATTTTGAAAGTTTCCTGTTGATTAATGAAATAACAAGTATTTTTTTATTACAAATTACACTACAATACAGTTTTATTTTTAACTAGCATTGCCCGCAGCTCCACCCCCGTTCAGAGGACCAAAACCGAATAATATAGCGCTATTGTTATTTTTTTCAAGATAAGCTACTTTTAATAGTTTTTGCCTTATTTAGTAAGTTACCTTGCTAAAGTATAGTACCATCGTGGTTTTAATCTAACCAGTTTTTGTATTTTTTCTCAGAAATGAGATATTTTCCCGCGGTTAAAAGTATCCTATATGTTGACCCGGATAAGCTTTGTATGACCATACTGAATTTCATCAAAATCCCTCTAGTAGTTTTTCTGTAATGCGGTAACAGACAGACAAAAATTCTTAAAAGAATAGATTCGACCTCTGTATCGATAATATTGCCTATTTCAATAAGATTTCCTAAAAAATATTGAATGTACAGATTCGACTTAGTTAGAATTTTATTATATGTATAGATTTTTCTACATGTGCTTTTACTATATAGGGTTTTGTAAATGCACACACAGCGTTGAGCAATGATATTTTTTACTTTAGATAAACGAATTGGTAAAACATTAATAGATATATGGACCTACTTAAACACCTACATACATATATACAAAACGACTAACGCAGGCGTTGGCAGCGGTACATCACTAAGTAATTGGGCTCATACACTAGTGTCCTTACGATATTTTCACACTAGGAACAATGTTAATGTACAAAATATAATTCAATAAATCCATTCCTCTATATATTTCGAAATGTAATCCATAAATTGTCTAAATTATCCTTAGAGAAATGACATGATTTTAATTTCTGCACAGTATTACAACCACATACCTATCTTTTTTTTTTTAAATATAGGTATTTAAAGGATGAAGTTAACCATGAGTTTTTAGAATTTGTCTTGGTCTGTCTGTTTCATCATCGTGCATGAGATCAGCTTAATGGTTTTAAATTATCCATTTATTATACATATAAGATAAATGTCATAATCAGGTAAGTAATAATTAGATATTGCTTAAGCTTCACATTATACGTGCCAGAGGAAGAAGGTATTATAATATATAGTTAAACTTTAAGGATTAAAATAAATATGCCTGCTGGCGCCTCAGCTTTCATATAATATAACAAATAACGATTTTCTGATCTAACAAATTGGTATATAAATATCAGTCATCAATTCTTAAAAGGATTGATTGATTGTAATAGGAATCAAATAAAAAAAAGATATTACTGTGACAATTTAAAGGTAACAAATACATAGACCGTAACTCCTGAAATAGAAAACTAACTCATATAAGCTTCTTAAGAGCAATATTTAATTACCCTAAATGGGACTGGAATCTGAGACTACTTGTTATGAGAAAAACTTGATACAAATGTATGTATATAAATGAAGTAGCAAAATAAAAACGAACCTATCCCACGGGAACTGTGCATTTTTCCGGGATAAAAAGTGGCCTATGTGTTATTCTAGACCATAATCTATATCTGTGCCAAATTTCATCCAGATCCGTTCATCCGGTTCTGGGGTGAAAGAGTAACAAACATCCATACGCACAAACTTTCACATTTATAATATTAATAAGGATGTACCGAAGCCCATAGTAAAAGTGCCAAAGCCAGCAAAGAAAACAGTGTATACAAAAATATCAAATAACTAAAAAAAAAACAAATTTTCAGCTCCATAATCTGAAACAAGAGCTGTCCGAATTTAGAACATATGTATTGATCCAATCCCTTGCAACTATAGATTAGATACGCCTACAAACAATTACAATACGTTTGGATCATATATAAAGTACAATAGATTGCGTCGAATCAGTAATTACGTACCTAGATGACAAGCCACTTCTAATCGCTTGAAACGGTAGCTTATTAATACTCTACATATTTGATGAATAAATCTATACATATAATAAAATTATAACTAAGCCGAATCTGTACATTAAATATGTTTTAGAAAATCCTATTGAAATAAACATTATTATCGATACAGAGGTCGAATCTATAGTTTTTAGAATTTTTGTCTGTCCGTCTGTCTGTCTGTCTGTTACCACATCACGGAAAACCCACTGGAGGGATTTTGATGAAATTTGATATGGTGACAGCTGGTTATCCGGGTCAACATATAGGATACTTTTTACCCTGGGAAAATATCTAATTTCTGACAAAAATACAAAAACTGTAATGTCAGAGTATACTAATATGTAAAACCTAAGAATTTAGTTTTTGGTCATCTGAACGCGGGTGGAGTCGCGGGCAATGCTAGTTATACTATAATTAATGATGGACTTCTTAGTTAATTATAGTTGAAATACTAAATTTTATATATGACAATGTTTTACCGAGTACAGAATAAATGGTTTAACCAAGCGTTTACAGTTTTTTTTTCTTTTTACATAAGGACTATATAATTAATTGTACCATGAAATTATTCATGTTATAATGAAAGATATGAAAGAAGTTTGACTATATAACGTATAAAACTTATAATATAGAGAATTGTGTTAATAAAGTTATTAACACCCAGTCATCCATCATGCACATACTAACAGAGCAAAGTTTGTGATATTATTTATTAGTTTCAAAGAAATCTTTTCAACTATCCTAAAGAATTAACTGACATGAGAAATTCTTTTATTGGTGTTGACAGATACTTTTTATGTTAAGTTTGATTTAATTTTATAATAGTACCATAAAACCATAGGCTTTGACATTTATTATGATGGTGAGGCATGGCGCCAGGTCACCAGTTCTAGCGATACAGGTCATCAATGCCATGGGTGCTTTATGGGATAATTTTTTTTATTTATTTAGTTTATACTTAAATGAACACTTTTATTTCTTTTTTCAGCAATCAAACTTTTAGTTTTATAGTTTCAAGGATTTTACTTTACGATATTTTAATCTTTTCTTTGCTTTTTGTTAATGTCGAAATATCTAGTGCTCGATGCAAGCAAAGCCTCGCTTTATCTTACTTAAATCAGGGCAAACATCTGCTTGGTCAGTGCAAACGTTTACCAACCATGTATGAGACTTAAACCTATTACAACGAGAATTTAGTGCAATTAAATTTTTGCCTTATATAAACTTATATTATACTAATAATTATAGTATAATGTACGTAGATATATAATGTAATTATTAAGTAATACATAATCTATATATATAATAAAATTGTAACTAAGCCGAATCAGTAGATTAAATATTTTTTAGAAAATCTTATTGAAATAGACTTTATTATTGATACAGAGGCCGAATCTATAGTCTTTAGAATTTTTGTCTGTCTGTCTGTCTGTCTATCTGTTACCGCATCACGGGAAAACCGCTGGATAGATTTTGATGAAATTTGGTATGGTGATAGCTGGTTATCCGGGTCAATATAAAGGATACTTTTTACCGCGGGAAAATATCTCATTTCTGAGAAAAAATACAAAAACTGCAATGTAAGAGTATACTCATATGTAAAACAAGAATTTGGTTTTTGGTCAACTGAAGGCGAGCGGAGCCGCGGGAAATGCTAGTTTTGTAATATAATTTTTAAACTCAGCTAAAATTTCGTATAAATTGTTTAGCACCTTCTTAATACCTGAACTTTTTCACGTTTCCTTTGTGAGCCTGCGAATGTTTCCCCACAGGAAATTGAGTCTTATTATTAACCCTGCTATCTACAGTGGGGAATTTAGTCAATTTATGACAACGTCTGCTAAAAAATTAATCTTTTTATTTAATTATATCTTTATCTCGTTTCACATTATAAAAAGTTGTTATTTATAAAATCTATACATATAATAAATTTCTAAGTCAAAACTGTACATTAAATATTTTTTGAAAAATCTTATTGAAATAGTCATTATTATCGATACAGAGGTCGAATTTGTAGTTTTTAGAATTTTTGTCTGTCTGTCTGGAAATGCGTAACTAGAAAACCACTGGACAGATTTTCATGAAATTTGATATGATGCTGGTTATCCGGGTCAACATTAAGAATATTTTTTCCTGCGGGAAAATATCTCATCTCTGAGAAATCTATACTAACTGGTAAAATGTACTAAGGGACGAACCAGAGTGGACCGAGGGTGAGTTGCTAGTGTAGTTTAGTTTTTTTTACATATAGGTATATCCACATAAATCTTACTTGTATTATTTTCAATTTTTTATAACTTGAAATAATCATTTTTTATAAATATCTTCTACTTATTTGTTCATGTACATGTACTTTAATATCTTAATTTTATGAATATAAAATTATCTTTAATATCTGCAACCTATATAGAGTGGCCTATAAAATAGCGTAAAGAGAAACAGAGGCTACTTTATAATCAAATCTAACAAGTCATTCTTGGAGTAAATATTTTATCAGCACTCATACTGAAGCGTCAACTCAAACAAGCTTATAATATACTCAGGTGTTTGCGCATAGGATCGCTAATCTATATAAATAAAAATAAATATCGGAATGTACGTAAGTGTATCACTTCAAAATTGGTGCAGCCGGAACCTATTGGACTAATTCTTTTTTGTTGTTTGTATGAAAGAGTTGTACGATAAAGTTTGTATGAAAGAAAATTTTTGAATTTTTTTACAGAAAAGTGAAAAATTTTGGATTGAAAAATCTTTATATAAAAAGGAAGTGATTGAGTGAGACAGAAGACAGAAGGGAAATCTTCAAAAATATTGTCAGAATTGACAGACTGATGTTCAGTTGTTCAGTTTTTTTACATTGTTTTATTTGTTACATCCGAAAAAATTGTGGTTTTGGTTATTTTTTGAAAAAAAAAAACTGTGGAAAATAAACAAAACAAATTTTTTTTCCACGCGACCGTAGCCGCGAGCTGAAAATTATAACAAAATAAGAATGACACTTTATACAACTTAAAAAAAGCAAGGGAAGGACTGTAAATTTCAGGTGTAAATGACATTGGGCCTTTAAAAATAACGAAAAGATTAGCTATTATTATGTTAGTTAAAAAACCATATTAGCCGAGTTACATGATTCTAGTCGTAATCATTGTATGAGAGTTGTATCATTGTACTCTCTTACTCTAAGTTAGGAAAGATGGAGTAGAAAAATGTGCAAAATATAGAGGTAGTGGAGCTAGCTTTCTAAATACTTTAAACGAGAATTAATTTACAGAATATACGTTATAATACTGGATATTTTGAGTTACAATCACTAAAATTAAATTTGTTTTCCATAATATATTAAAAAAATACGAAGCATGAACTAATTTTACAAAAGTATGTATTAGGAAAACTTACAATGTTTATTTTAGTGTATAAATATGTTAGTAACAACAGAATATTCGGCGTTACCGAACCCTTGACGCGCGAGTCAAAATCATAATCGCTCACACATTTGAAAACCATTGCAGCCATCAAATTATTAGCTATAACATAAAAACAAATAGTTTTTTTTTTCTTGTAATTAGAAAGCGGACGAAGCCGTGGCTGCTGCTAGTACAATATAAAGTCTAGTTTTAAATGCTAGATATGAAAATAAAATCTTTAAATTCAGTAAACCGTATGATATACCAGTGACCGGTTTTAAAACTACTCTATTAATAAATTAAAATATAGCATATTTAAATTTAGTAAGCCATATATTTTTAGATTTTAAAGACTATGTTGAAATAATTACATATTCAATTAAAAATGTTTAACTATAAATTATTTGATCAAATTTTCTTACGTACCTTTTTCCTTTATAAGATCGAAAATATTGTAAATATTATGACAAAAATATAGCATCGCGCGGACTTTGTTGCTTACGAGTACTTTCAATTGGATATCAAAATTGTCGTATGAGTTTAATTTCTTTACCGTACAGGGACACTAAATTGTTTTTTTTTATATAAAAATCTGAATTTACGATTATTTGAAATTTATATCAGGTGGGTTTTGTATACAAACAGGTTTTTGCGCCCTGTGTACTACGCTGGATATATACTCGCAGGTGTAAGAATCCTGTCAATATAAAAGTAGAAGCCCCATATCACTTTTCCAAAAGTTTATTCTTATCTTACAAAAACTTCTAAAAATTTAAAAGCTATGTTTTATTTTGTTTAACAATACACTTCATATCTTTAAAGGGTAGTCTTAACCATATTACATGTAACCATACATTTTTCATCTGGTAAGTAGATAGATGAAGGTTGACCCTACTTACGATTGTAGACATTACTTTAGAAAAAGTGCCAATTGCTACGGTATAAAAAATATTATAATTCAATATTGCCTTTCTTCTATGAACACCCCGAGCGTGCTCACGCTTTAATTCCGGTCCTACCAGAATATCTCGGAATCTTTTATTTATTTTGCCATGTAAAAAAATAACAAACAGAATGGATAACATACACACAGATACACATTTTAAAAATACTTGTTTCAGGGCATACGTCCATACTAAAATCTTCTTTAGAAAATAATTTTAATATAGGAATGCAGCTTCTAAATCCCTCTTAGCTCTAACAAATGAAGCCATGAGATTTGTTGTTCACGTTTGATTAACAGTAGAATTTTCTATTGTTTCACGAAAAATATATGCATTTAATGAGTCACAGCGAGCCTGTATGGAAGAACGTCAAGTAGTCGATGTATGTCAAGTTTACTCAGAGCACTAGGAATTGCAAATATAGCATAACTTATAACCTTTAAAATGTTCAGCATCTTAAAATATTATTAGGTCAAGTTTGCATAATGTAGACTGCTTCAAAAAGCTCTGTTTTAAAGTAGCTCAGCTCGAGATTTTAAGAAGTACTGTCACGTACCGGTTACTAAACATTTTGATGAGACCCTTCGCCTTCCTCTTCTCGTTGCCTAACAGCCTGTTTAGCATCTGCTTTCTTTTCTTGTTTTAATTTAAATTTAAAATAAAACACTACGTAAGATTTTATATATAGACATATATATTTTTCATGTCTTATTAATTAATAAAAATATTTTTCGTGAAGTCCACTGGATGTCGAACCAGCGTTAGATTGAAGTCGACCCAGCGCTAGATTGACGTCGTATGGTCACATGATAATGCATATCATATGAAAATTTCTAAGCAATAGTTAATTTTCGCCTGTGTAATTTTATGCAATTAAAGATTTATTTGGTAGTTTTTAATAAAAAAATATTTATAAACAATAATTAATGGTTAATATACAATTTATCCTCTTTTTTAAACAAATTTAGCCATATTTTACTGAAAAATGTCTGTGGATTGGCGTACAGGGTATGGACGCGCAAGGTAGTCTCTCACCACCAGTAGACCAGTAATCTATTCATAATGATTATTCGCCGATACTGCACAGATTTACAATAAACGATGGCTACGGCGTTTGTAAATAAAGCTTTACATTTTAAATAAATTGTAAAGCTAAAAACATATATTTGTTTTAAAAGTATATATTGAAAATATTGTAAAATAAAGTTTATGGACAAACAAACTTTTATCTGAGAAAAGTAAATGTAAAAAGGTAATTATTATTATTAAAAATAATTTATAATATTTGAATATTTGAAATTAATGGTTGAAAATTATTTTAAAATAATTCATATTAATCTCTACTAATGAATAATCAAGCGAATAATAGATCCAGAAAATTTACTTTCTTATACCAGTAAATGCTTGATCAATAAATAATTAAAGTATACGGGGGCTTACGTTTGGCATTGTAAGACTATATTAAAAATACCCACGATGTCATTGGACTTGGCACAGTTTGGATAATCTTTATATAAGTACACCATAACAGCCGGGCGCTTTATCGCTTGGTGACATATCAATAATAGCATTGTTTTCATTCAAAATATTATGATCTAATCTGGAGTAGATTGCAAATCCAGTGAATATGTTGGCCATATTATAGTGTAAATTAATAATGTTTTATCTTAGTGCCTAATTTTAGGCAAACTAGCTATAAAAAAATGTTGTAACAAAAATAGTTGCACCGTGCGTCGGTACAAATGAAAGTGCTTGCAAAGATATTTAAGAAAATATGTGTAGCTAATTAAAGCTAGCTAGTTCACGTATATATATATATATATATATATATATATATATATATATATATATATATATATATATATATTAGTCGCTGTGTAAAGAATTAAAAATTTCAGTAAAATATTTCAGATTCTTGAAATATCTAAAATATAAAGTATTTAATATGATTAGGATTAAAAGAAAATATTTATTCAACCCAGGCTTTGTTAACGTTAATATCATTAAAGTTTCAAAACCATTATTTTTCTTGAATATTGATATAAATATTTTATTTAGATTTTTTTAAAGATATAAAGTGAAAGTAGGTAGAGTTATAAGAAAAATCTAGCTTTATAAATATTCTTGCGTACACTCCACGTTAAACGAAACATTTGTATCATTCAAATTTCTTTACGAATTCCATATTTCATTTCTCTGAATTTTTATTTTAGCAAATGGATTGTTCAAGAAATGCAAATATATTCGACGGTAATTTTTGTTTCTTTCTTGAATATTAATACACCTACAACGAAACAAAAGCCATAATGAAAATAAAAAGTATTTAGAAATAGAAAACTAACAAAATAAATTATTTAACATTAACTAACCTGTCAGCTAACACGCAACGAATTACTATACATAATATATAGGGATATATGTACTCGCACATACTCGTAGATGCCTATGTCGAAGTCAGTTAAAGTAATGCGCATGAATGAATACCAGCAGTGTCAAGAGGCTGGTTGTTTAGAATTTAAAATCAGGAAGGATTTGCACACTGCTGTTTGTATGAAAAATTAATATAATTTTGGCATATAAATAATTAAAATGGTATATTATAAATAAAATGTGATAAGTAAAAATGTCTTCAAGTACTCAAAAAATTATGTTACATTTAACTATAATAACCAGAATCTAATTCAAGAAATATTTTAGTAGAACTAATTATTCTAAGCGGAAAAGATAGAGCAGAGCGTAAGAGAAGATCTATGATCACAATATTTTTTTTTTGTTTATATTGATGATTTTAATTTTACTTCTTATTATCATGTATTATTATCAATTCCTTTTGTATTATGACATTTATCTATAATAATAATTATTATTATTTTTAAATTTTTGTACTTTTAATACATGAATATTTAAATGCTATGTACACTTATAATTGACATACATATAAGGTATATTATTATTACATTAATTAAATTGAAAATGTTTCATATGTATGTTGTAAGTGTGCTTTTTACAAATAAATAAATAAATAAACAATATATAGTATGACAAAAAAAATCCGACGAATTGAGAACCTCCTCCTTTTTGGAAGTCAGTTAATAAAGAAAAGTATGATCGATATGATGGTTTCAAAAGACATGAAATTACTTTGTTCGTAGTCAATAGACTTTTTGTGATTAAACTCGCTAGTTATAGAGTCAATAATAGAACAATCGCTGAGGTCTTTTGAAGTTATATTGAATTCTGATGATTAATATAATTTAATTAAGAAGATTTTGGATTCATTGAATGAATATAATTGCATTTATAATAAAAAATGTACGCATATTAGAGAGTAATGAAAATATATTAAAACCTTCTTTTCATAAGACAGATAACGTCTTCTTACACTACAAAAGTTGAGATATAGTTCTTTGCCAATTTCATTTATATCATTAAATTTAAAATGTAACAGATCCAAAGCTATTTTAAATCTATTGTTTCGTTTAAATTGTTTGTCGTAGAGCAGTGCGGAGCTTAAATGTCCTCATTATGAGCTAATTTAAAAGTATGTAGAGCGCTCGCCCTGTTAACTTTCAATATATATAATTTGTATGTTTATATATTGTATTCGTTTTGTTTTAAATATTATGCTTATTCTTATTTATTTTCTTATCGTTTCTTTGCACTTTCTTTTTCTGTCCCGCTACTTAACACTATTTCCCACATACATGGGTTGACTGGAAGCGATCTCTTATAGAGATAAGTCCACCTTTGTACACATCATTTTCTATGTATTTTTTATTACTTGTTTAGTGCAATAAAGAATATATATATTTATATATATATAAATATATATATATATATATATATATATATATATATATATAAATATATATATGTATTACTTGTTCAACACTAACACATACAATACAATTTGTTTTAATTAAAATAAATGTTATATGTAATTCTCGTAACGATAAGAGTTTTCGGAAATTTTAATCAATAGATTCTATGAAAATATTATACTATTTCAACGTGGCAAATTTTCTTATCAGACACATAAAAGTCTAAAATTATACATATTCACATAAAATAATATACATTGCACTTGAAGTCTCTCTAAGTATTATAAATGTTAATTCAATAGTTTAGCTTTTCTTCTTTCTATTATGAAACATTAGACCAACGAATTATACGATTTTTTTGCGAAAAGATAATATAGGCTAAAGTAAACTTAGAGTATACTTTTGTTTGCATAAAGTGATTATCCGTTGACTGTTATTTACTAAGTATCAAAAAAATTAATGAAAATAATAATCGATTCACTATTGGGGAAGATATAACGAAATATCCAAAAAATATATTTAAAATTGAATGTCTACTTCTTTTTTAAGTCAGTCAATAATTTATTAATCAACATTCGAATCAGGATTACATTAAGATGTCAGCTTCATAGATTCTATAGAAATATAGAGCTTTCAGAATAATTAGCGGTTCCGCTTTCATAGACGACCTCGATTTATTAATAATAACATTTTTCTATGAATACAAAAATAACTAAAGCAGTAATTGAAGTTAATGGATATTTTTTTGTAATTCCATATATTTAATTTGTGATAAGTATATTATATATTGACTTTGAAATTGCACTTAAGGTATGCTAAGACGTAAGTAATCTCTATATTATCTAAAGAGTTATTAGAATTTTTAAATTATGTTTGTTCAGTCGTGCTAGAACGGCTTATTATCTTTTAATTAGACTATTTTATTTTATAGGCAATATTTTGAATTAAAATCATAGTAAATTTACATTTTATTTTATTTAGTTCAATTGGTACAGAAATACAACTCGATTTCTGCTTTCTTTTCTCTAACATGCATCTCCCGAAGGCGTAGGTCAGCGACAGAAACGTATACGCATAGAAAATCACTGGCAGCATATAGTATAAGAAATAATACTAAATTAAAATCTTTTTTGAACGACTACTATTTTTCTATTTTAAAGCTTTATTCTTATTTGTGTAGCATACATATATATTATAAAATAAACTATATAAATATATGTTTAATTATAAAAAATAAATTAACGTTTTACATGTATAATAAATATATAATATATCTGGGAAAAGAGAGGAATTATTTTTTAAAGAAAAATATATCTTACCACGTTAATTTCTTCCGCTATTTACTATAGATTATTACATAAGTTTACACACAAAGGGCACTAAACACTCACTAGTTTCTAAAAATATAAATACCGCTATAGCTACGCACTGTTAATAATTTAAAAACACTTGAAAAGCACACTGTAAATGTCTAATTTAAACAGTCTATTATTTTACTTTAAATGTCTTTGGTCACACTTATTCCTATCAAGAATTACTTTTAGGATAAAAATAATGTCCAAAACTATTTATAAATTCGTGTAAATTGTGTTACAAAGGTATAAACTTTTAAAGGTTGAAAGTAGAAAGTTTCAGTCGTTTTTTGTGTATAAATAGGTTTCGGTACAAATTTCTGAGATGCATATTGAGAAAATAATGGTGAAAAACCTCGCAGTAGTTGCTAATCACAAAAGTACGTGGATGAGGGTAGTGAAAACTTTCTAAGGGGTAGTTTTAGAGTCATATTCTTTAATATACACTAGA